TTTGTAAAAACGAGGCATTAATGCTCCATGGTCAAGAGAACTGCCAACTCTGGCTCCAACTCCTTGTGTATTTTTAGATGTTACGGTTTCTTCTGGCCCCAGTGGCCTCGCCAAAATCATGAAGTCACACAAGTAAGTCATCTTCAAATCCCTTGCAGGTCTTTGACTTTGGGAGACCCAGTGAAGTACAGTAGAGCCAGGCGTCGCTTTGAGTCCTGGCTTTGCCCATCAACTAGTTGTGTGGCTTCGTGCAAGTTACGGTCCCTTTCCATAGCATCTGTTTCGATGCCAGTGGTACGTCGGTCTACAGCCGTGTTATACAGAATACAATGGGGTTATACGGCTATAGAATATGGGGATACAACAATACTTCTGTACTGAGTTCTTCAGAAGATTAAATGAGCTATATGGCAATAATTATTTCCACTCTGATTTCTCTTTCAGTCAACACTTAGTGGTTGCAAAATCAATTTTCTGCTCTGTGGATTATCTGAGGCAATTTAGCACTTCCTATTCCTACCGCATAACAGAAATTTGTTAGTAGGGTGGGTGGAAAATGTGAGGTGCTATGGAAAAGTGTAGACTTATTTGGAGAGGGGGCTCGCACTGATGCCCTAAACCTGATAAAATTGTTTTTAAATTATCTGTTGTTTTAGATTACCCATGCCCTTATCCTTTTGTTTTGCTACGAGAAATTAAATGTGAACTCGCCAAAGCATTTAAAACCGATGGAACAGTCCCTGCCCACAGAGTCACAGCCTGGAAAACTGGTGGCCGTGGCGTATCATTATAAAAAGCTTTATTTTTTTCATTCAAAGATTCAAAATGGCATTAAAAGTTAACAGCACAGTTGTCAGGTCTATGGGCAGGATGCACAAGGGAGTTTGAACTAAATGACATCAGGATTCCTTCTAACTTTAAATTCTGGTTCTATAATTCTGCCTACAGAGTAAACGCCAAAAAAAAAAAAAATCCTCAAAGCCTAGAGTAGAATAAACTAATCCTAAAAGTCACTAATAGGCTTTCCTGCAGGCTGCAGCTGGGAGATGCATCTCATCAGCTCTTCTGGGGCAGGAGGGAGGGAAAGATACTATAACGCGCGACAGGTTTCCCAGGGAAACGGCCTTCGGTCTCGGGGCGCCGCTTACTGACTGGCATCTGAGGGGTGTGAGGATACGCTGAAGGGGTCCCGCAGCAATTTTCTCCTTGACCTGCTTGTCAATCACAGACTTCCAGGACTTCCTGAATGGCAAACCTGATAGCTCTCATCACCCAGTGTTAAAACTCTAAGCAGAGGTATTTTTTTTAAATGCAGGTTCTATAAATGTACCCTCTTCATACCAATTAACATCAATTAAATAAAGCTGTGAAGGACTCTGTTTTATGCTAGAAAGTTATCCCTTGATGAACTGAGATTGAGAAAGTGATAGCCCTTCTGAGCACTGATACGTATGCATCTCTCTCTGTGTAGATGGAGGATACACATAGTATTATTGAGAGGGATATATATATATATATTGTTTTTGAGACAGAGTCTCACTCTGTTGCCTGGGCTAGAGTGCCGTGGCATCAGACTAGCTCACAGCAACCTCAAAGTCCTGCACTCGAGCGATCCTCCTGCTTCAGCCTCCCTAGTAGCTGGGACTACAGCTACATGGTGGCATGTGACACCATGCCCGGCTAATTTTTTCTGTATATTTTTAGTTGGTCAATTAATTTCTTTCTAGTTTTAGTAGGGACAGGGTCTTGCTCTTGCTCAGGCTGGTTTCGAACTCCTGACCTCGAGCAATCCGCCGGCCCCGGCCTCCCAGAGTGCTGGGATCACAGCCGAGAGCCCCCGCACCCGGCCTCATTCTTTCCATTTACCGTACTGACAACCACTGAAGACCTACCGTGTTCTAAGCACACAGACTCGTCCTTGAGGAGTTTACGATCTAACGTGGGGCGCGGAGAAAGGAACAGACCGCCCGTCCATGCGATCCGATGGGTGTGGTGACGGTGAGGTGGCCAGGCTGTGATGACAGCACGTGGACAGAGCCGCAGAGAGGGGAGATCGGGGCGCGCACAGACTGCCTAGCCCAGGGCCCTCCGTGCTCCCGACTCCGTCCACGACCCCCGCAACGTGTCTGCACGGTCACACGGCGTTGTCAATTCTGAAAAAACCAGACCCACCGATACCACTGTGGTCTCTGTCTTCAGGAAGGCTGCCGTCGCCATGTGCATTGACTGCCCCGCAAAACCTGGGCCGGCCTCTAAGGAGCACTCGGGGGACTCTTCCCGAGGAAGGTGGCAAGGAGGTGGCCCCCGGCTGGGTCCTGGTGAGGGGGAGGGGGAGGAGAAGCAGGCGGAGGCAGATTGGACAGGGGCGTTGGCACAGAGGGGACAGCGTTCCTGGCACAGACCACGGCGTGTGCAAAGGCCCGGAGGTGAGGGCGTGCGGCACAGCTGGGGAAGCCGAGGCCGGCGGTGTCTCGCTGTGGCCCAACATGACGAGTCCGAGTGAGGCCCACACGCGAGCAGGGGCGGGTGGGGCAGGGCCGGGGCCGGGTGTGTGATGCTGCAGAGCCCGACCTCAGTCCCAGGCCTCGCTGGAGGTCTAACTCGGGAGGAAGGTGGCTCGCGTGTTGGGAAGGTCACTGTGGCCACAGGCGGAGAACAGGGCAAGGCTGGAGCGCAGCGGGGGTTCAGAGGGAGGCTGTGGGACCAGACTGAGACCGCAGGATGCGTAACTCACAGGCCCTGCCTGGCCCTGCCTGGGGGAGAGCGCGTCACAGCGGTTCTGAGTGCAGGAACAAGGACGAGAGACGGCTGTGTGGGGCCGCGTGAGGGAGACGGCTACGAGCGCCGACCCGGCAGTCGGGTCTCCAGACTCAGCCCTGCAGTCAGGAGCAGAACTCGGGGCTCCGTGAATCTGCAGGAGGTGAATCTGTGCTGGAGGAAATCCGATCCCGGAGCCGAAGTCATAGGACGCCCGTGACGAATAGGCACTGCAGGAGCCTGGCTTTGCCCAAAGAATTGGATCAAAACCACCCAGCCTGTCTAATAATCAAAGACAACTGAAATAAAACAAAATGTGTTCTTTCATTTTAAAAAAATAGCTACATGGGCCATGCGCGCTGGCTCACGCCTGTAAGTAATCCTAGCACTCTGGGAGGCCACGGCGGAGGATCGCTTAAGTTCAGGAGTTGGAGATCAGCCTGAGCAAGAGTGAGACCCTGTCTCTACAAAAAATAGAAAAATTAGCTGGGCGTGGTGGTGCGTGCCTGTACTCCCAGCTACTCAGGAGGCTGGGGCAGGAGCACTGTTTGAGCCTAGGAGTTTGAGGTTGCAGAGAGCTATGATGATGCCACTGCACACTAGCCTGGGTGACAGAGCAAGTCTCTGTCTCCAAAAAAAAAAACTATAAAATTTTTTAAGATAGTTGAGGCTATGGTAAAATTTCACATAAATTTATACCATTTTTTTAAAGGAAGTAGTACTATATAAAGCCATATTAACATTAATAGCCTTTGTTCCAATTAGTGTACTTCCAGGAATACACGCTTAGCAAATAATCAGAGATGGAGACAAAAATATATGAACATGACCATTTATTATGTCAATATTTGTAATAAAAACAACAAAGGAAACAAATGTCCAGCAAAACAATAGTGATTAAATAATGAAAAATTATGACATATTCATGTGGTAGAATAGTCACATGTGATAGAAATATTTTAGGATACAGGAAAATGCTTACGACATACTATTAAGTGACAAACCCTGCCTCATGGTTAAGAGTCTGGTCTTTGGAGCCAGACTACACAATCTCTAGGTTAAAACTCTTTTCCACCACACACATGCTGTGTAACCTTAGGCAAGACACTTCGCCTCTAAGCTTCAATTTATCTGTAAACCTAGGATAATAATACTAATTCTCCGGATTGTTATAAACATAAAAGAAGATTATGATTGTAAAGCACTTAACATAGTGTTTGACACATAAAAAGCACTTAAATTGTACCTAGTATTATTTTTAAAGTGGCTTATTTTGTCTACTTCTTTACACTTGATACTTGCAAGTATTCCCAATTTTTTTTATATATAAGAGCATGTATTATTGTTACACAAGAGGAAATATTATTTCAAAAGTCAATACATACATTTGGGTACATTTTTAACTGTACAGTTCCGCAGTGTTAGCTGTATTCACGTTGTTGTAAAACAGGGCTCCAGAACTTTTCATCCTGAAAAACTGAAACTCTGTACCCCTCTACCAACATCTCCCCATTTCCCTCTCCCCTCAGTCCCTGGCAGCCACCATTCTACTTTCCGTTTCTATGAGTCTGAGTACGTTAGGTACTTCACCTGAGTGGAATCATACGGTCTTTCTCTTTCTGTGATTGGCTCATTTCACCTGGAGTGAGGTCCTCCAGGTTCATCTACCTTGTCACAAATGGCAGGATTTCCTTCTTCTTTAAGCCTGAGAAAGGTTTCATTTATTTATGTGTATAGACACACACACCTCTATACATAAATACACACACATACACACACATATATGCACACAGCACATTTTCTTTGTCTATTCATCCCTTGCCGGACACTTGGCGATTACTAAGTGAGCGTGGCTAGCGTGAATATCACTGGCGTGAGTGTGGGTGTGCAGACATCTCTTTGACACGCCGATTTCTTGTCCTTTGGAATCACAACCAGTGATGGGATTGCTGAATCCTATCGTAATTCTACTTTTAGCTTTTGGAAGAACCTCCATAGTGTTTTCTATAGCTTGTGGATTTTTAAATATATTTTGTCCAGCCACCCCTCTGAAAAATGTATGTATGTATTTATTTGTTATTTTTAACAACTTTATTGAGTTACGCTTGACCTACAATAAATGCAAAACTGTTTACAGGGTGCGATTTCATGTGTGCACCCATAAACCAACGACCACCACAAAGGCTACAAACGCGCCCGCCACACTCAGTCCTCTGCGGGCCTGCCCGCCACCCCAGCCCCGGGCCCCTACCGCCATGGGTTACTGTGCATTTCCTAGAATGCTACACAAGCCAAACCACACAGTAGGGACACTTTTTGTGTGACTTCTCTCAGTGACCAGAGTTCTTCTGAGATTCTTCCACGTTGTGGATCGTATTGGCAGTTCATCCCTTCCCCGCGGTACCGCAGTTGGCGCGCCCGTTCTGAAAAATGCAGATACGACAGTTTACTTTCCATTTAGCGGGAAAGAAAAACAGAGGAATTAGACCCAGCCCTCCCAAGAAAGCCAAGAAAATCATCTAGGACAGTCGCCCCCAAGTCCCTCGCCCCCACTGCTGGAGATTCTGGCCCTGCCCCAGGGATTTATCCTCCCTGAATGCTTATTCTTCCTCGTTGAATGTCACACCCGCCAGACTGTCCCTCCAGTGGTGTCTAGCGTTATCTGAAATATTGAAAACAGCTGCTAACCGAAGGATCAATGCAGATAAATTGATACCTGAGCACTTTTAACTGAGGATAAGCATTGATCATGACGAATGACACCTTCCTGGCAATGGCAGGCCTGCAGCTAAACGAAAGAGGTCATGGGATTGAAAAGACTCCTGAGGAAATATAAAGGCTATTTTCTCTATGGTCTCAAAAGGAAAAGGTGCTGTCGTACGAGGGCATTGACATGGAAGTGCAAAAAGAGGCAATGGTTTCATAAACAAAATGTGTTTTCTGAGAATCTGAAGCCTCAAACACAAATGCATTATAGAGCAAAGATATTCATCATGACAATTCAAACATGATCTCTTATGTCATTTGTTTGTTTGTTTGTTTGTTTTTTGAGACAGTCTCACTCTGTCGCCCGGGCTAGAGTGCCATGGCATCAGCCTAGCTCACAGCAACCTCAAACTCCTGGGCTCAAGCGATCCTCCTGCCTCAGCCTCCCGAGTAGCTGGGAAATACAGGCATGCACCACCATGTCCGGCTAATTTTTTATAGCTATACTTTTAGTTGTCCAGCTAATTTCTTTCTATTTTTTTTAGTAGAGACGAGGTCTCGCTCTTGCTCAGGATGGTCTCAAATTCCTGAGCTCAAACGATCCTCCTGCCTTGGCCTCCCAGAGTGCTAATATTACAGGCATGAGCCACCACGGCTGGCCTCTTATGTCATTTTTATTCTTCTAACAGGTTTTAACTCAACCTGCGACCAGCAGGCCACACAAGATGAATCGAATGCCGCATCCTAGAACAGGATTATTAGCGCTGAGTGCTGACAGACCTGGGCGTTTTCATGAAATCTCTGAAGCAATAATTGCTACATGGGATTTAGCTGGGAGACAGTAAATTGATCTCTTTAAGGATGCTTCACTTAAATAAGGTGGTAATTTGCCCAGGTAGTTACAATGTAAAAAGTTCTCAAAGAGACAGGAGAGCCAAGAAAATGCATTTAAACACTTCTTATAGAAAGGTAATTAAAAAAAAAAAAAACAGACTGATCAGAATCAGCCTCGGGTTTTGGCATAAGTGGAATAAACTTCAAAGTGAAACCCGTCATCTTCTGCCCCTGGCTTTCTCCTTTTGTACAGAGATTCTGAACCACGCTCACTCACCCTGCCCGCAACACACGCTGGCGTGTGTCAGGAATGACAGCGAGCTGACGGTTGCCAAGGAGAACTGCGCAGGTCTCTGCTGCCAGTGCTGTCGGGGGCTGGGGCAGTCGTCTGTAAAGGATTAACGTGGGGGAAATCAGTGTTTTGTCATCATAACTGATTTATATATTCTTTATATATCTTTATATATTCTTACCAACATTCATTGGCTTGCTGTTTGAACAGCATTATAGGTTTATTTACTGTTTAGATACAGCATTCTAAACCAGTTTTATAATGAATAACTTTTTCAAACATTTTCATTTCTTAATTACTACTTCAGTTATAAGAGGTCTAGTTTTAAGTTTTCTTAAAGGTTGTAAACTTGTTTCCAAGGTGACTATGTTGAATTTGATGCCCATAATCCAGTTTCCACGAATGCAGTGTGAATGTGTAACCTTGGGCTAATTTTATGTGAAAAATAAATTTCACAGCAGTGTTTCTCAAAGAGTGTTCCTTGAGCACCTGCATCCAAGTCACCCAAGATGCTCACTGCACATGCGGATGCCTGACCCCTGCTCCAAACACGTGAAGTCCGTGTTCCTGAGGGAGAGCCTTGAGAAAGCGCCCCAGGCAGCACGTGTGCACGGTGCTGTTTGAGACTCACTGATACACACTGTGGAATCACCTCGCCACACTTCTTATTTTATCCCTTTGCTAATTCAGTAGCATCAACTAAAAACATTTTTTCAAAACTATAAAGTTATGGCTGCCTGCATATTTATGTATTCAAAGACTGTTCATTGCACCAGCACTGTACAACACGGGGCACTTGGGTAAGCTCTTAAAAATCAGCAGGGAATAAGACAGAAATGTTCCCTGGAAGCATGGGGCTAATTCTGCCAGGGAAGACAACCAATAAATAATTCCTTAACTAATTGCTCGACTGCAGATTGACAGGCGCTACTAAACATAAATAAGAGGTATTAATACCAAGGGGCACTGGCTCAGACTTGGGGCTCTGAAATGTGACCTCTGAGAAGGGGTACCCAGACAGCAGTCTGATAAATGGGGAGAGAACAGTCTAGAAAGAAGAGCGGCCCAGGTGGAGGGAACACTCAGGAAGGAGGAACTGAGGCTGAGAAGGAAGGCAGTGAGAAATGTGGCTGTTAGAGTGGCCAGTGGCCAGATCACTCCAGACTTTGAGTTCTGTTGAGAATTTCGGATAGTATCCCGAGAACAATAAGAATCCGTTAGAGACTTTTAAACACATCCGCTCTGGTGTCAGTTCTGCAGCTGTGTCGCTGAAGGAACAAAAACAGGAGCAGTCGGAAAACAAAGAGGGCTCAGGCAGGGTTTTGCCTCACAGCCACGGGACAGAGATGGGGAACCGTGCGACGCATACAGCCTACCAGGGGAGGTGCTCGAATCACGTCTGACAGGCGGGGGAGCGGTAACTCATGCCTGCAATCCCAGCACTCTGGGAGGCCGAGCCGGGAGGATTGCTTGAGCCCAGGAGTTCAAGACCAGCCTGAGCAACACAGGAAAACCCCATCTCTACAAAAACTAGGAAAAACCCACATAGGTGTGGTGGTGCCATGCACCTGTAGTCCCAGCTACTCGGGAGGCTGAGGCAGGAGGATCGCTTGAGCCCAGGAATTGGAGGTTGCGGTGAGCTATGATTGTGCCTAAATGACAAACTGAGACCCTGTCTCAAAAAAACAAACAGACAAAACCAAATTAAGTCTGATGAAGACAGTGCCCTGGAACATTTTAAGGGCCTTGAAATCTCAACCACCTAATTTTACTAGTTTAGAAATGACTCTAGCAACATATGTTGCCATTTATGTTCAGCGACAGCCATTCATGGGGACGAAGCTGGAAACACCAACGCACATCCGAGTTGTTCACTCCACCCGGGCCGCAGAAGGACTTGGCGGTTTGTGGCTGCAGCCCTCACCTCTCACAGGGAAGTCAGGTTTGGCTGGGCCCCCCGGCTGGGAGCACCCCCCACTAACACGAAGACTGCGGTCACAGTGCACCTGAGCACCACACAGATCCGGGAACATATTGTTCCGTGGAGTTAAGCACAGGTTTAGGTCCAAAGGCAACGTGTTATTTTAAAAAGAATCATCAACCACTATTTTAGTCAAAAACACGTAGAGTAACCAGCAAGACACTTCAAAGGAAACATGGAGTGACATCATTCTGGCACTCGTAATCTGTAATGGCTCAGTCCCTCTGTTTATACGGGGCTGCGATAAACAACAAAGCCCTTCACTTTCCGGCCTCAGCACAGCAACCATGCGGTTTGAAACTTTGATTTGGATTGCGTGCTGCAATCGCTACATTTCGAAAACACGGTCAACTGTCACTGAGATTCTCTACCGATAGAAAAGCGCTTACAACAACGAGACATCGAAAACTTCCTTCGTTTACTTGAACATCACAAAATCGAAGTCTGTGAGATCAGTCTGGTTTGAGGTTCACATTTAATATGACTAGAGTTAAAATTTTATTCAGCCGATTTCTAACACAAACAAGATTGGAAGAAGAATGTGTAAAAAAAAAAGTCTTAGAGTGTGAAAGCGCTCGAGAGTAGTCACTGTCAAAAACAATTAATATGCTATACACAAGGGTCTTGTCTATTTAATACAACAGGGCTAGCAGTGGGGTCTCTAATAAAGTCCCCGGATGTGTGAGAAAATATAGCAGGCTTCCTCTTATAGCCATAGTGAGACCATTTATTATTCTAGATAATTATATATATATATATATATACACACACACACATATTGCTCTATATACTACAAAGAAATTACCAATTTTTGAAGAATTGGACAACAAAAAAATGGTACTTCCAGAAAATTATCAGGCTTTTTCTTATAGCCATAGTGAGATAATTTATTACTCTAGATAATTATACATACATACACATATTGCTCTATATACTACAAAGAAATTACCAATTTTTGAAGAATTGGACAACAAAAAAAATGGTATTTCCAGAAAATTACCTAAACATAATTAAACTTTCTTTTTCTTATTTATGTCTCAAGTTTACACATGGTGAGGTGTTTTACGTCCAGTGCTGTGCACTGTGACGCGTGCATAGGTCCCTGTCACCACCACCGCATGTGGGGTACAGAACCCCCGGACCCCAGAGAATCCCTTCCTGTCGACCCTTCTGTAGTCGGGCTTCTCCCCAGCCCTAACCCCCGGCAGCCGCCATCTGCTGTACCCCTACAGTTTGCCTTTTCCAGAATGTCTTGCAGGTGGACGTGCAGGGACACAAGTCTCTGAGCCTGGCTTCTCCCACTCAGCACGGCTCAGCCGGTCGCTGCACATGCCTTCTGCGGCACACTCCCCGAGCAGTGTCCGCCGCCCGGGGACATGGACAGGAACAGGGACATTCGAATATACGGTGACAGTGTGGAAAGGGCAGAGATAGGGTGTCCTTGGTTATGTGGCACAACACAGTCGTCCTTTACGTAAACAAGGTTTCCGCGCCAGCTGGCTGGTGCGCCATTTGTCTCTTTCCAAGGAAAGTGTCACATAAACCGGGCGCGGTGGCTCACGCCTGTAATCCCAGCAGTCTGGGAGGCTGAAGCAGGCGGATTGCTCAAGGTCAGGAGTTTGAGACCATCCTGAGCAAGAGTGAGACCTTATCTCTACTAAAAAAAAATAGAAAGAAATTAGCTGGACAACTGAAAGTATATACATAAAAAATTAGCCGGGCGTGGTGGCGCATGCCTGTAGTCCAAGCTGCTGGGGAGGCTGAGGCAGGAGGATCGCTTGAGCCCAGGAGATTGAGGTTGCTGTGAGCTAGGCTGACGCCACGGCACTCACTCTAGCCTGGGCAACAAAGCAGGTCTCTGTCTCAAAAAAAAAAAAAAAAAAAATCATATCACTGTCTTGGCCCCGGTGCTGGACTTGGTCGACCACCGAAATTAACAGGGCGAGCAACAGAAAATGCAGGACACCTGCGGCACGAAGATTTTCAGTCCCTGCTACAGAGGCTTTCAAACTCTGTGCCTTATTTATAAGAAAAACTTGAGTGGAGGCCTGAGGAGACACTACAAAAGATTAAAGGGTGAGAATTGGGTCATTTATTTTTGTATTCAGGATTGCCCTTTTTTTCATAAATAAAAATACTATAATAAGAAACATCAGCTGTGTTCTCTAAGTATTTAAAGACCCCAGTTAGGGTTGGGGGGAGGGACAAGCAGAAAATGCAGGAAGACATCGGACACTCATTAGGATTCTGAACCCCCGATTTTCCCTGGAACACCTGGGCACAGCCCCACCCCGAGCCAGGAAGAGAATATTTAGGTTTCTGCTCATAGGACATGTTTGAATATTTACTCCAAACACACCCAGCTTCTAGCACCACTGCAGTAAAACGTAGGGATTCTAAGAAGTCACCTACCTTCGATCATTTTGGAGGTTTGTCCGCTAACATGAAATGACATCTGTCCGTGGTTCAGATAAGCCGGTCTGTGTTCCCGTAAGGGCTGACGGCGCCCAGTGAGTCAGCAGAAACCACCGCCCTCGGCACAGCCCCTGCTCCCCGACCGGTACGGCTGCACGGGCTCCCTCTCCCTCCCTAGGACAAAACATTTTACGAGAAGGAGGGAATCTCGGCAGAATCCTGATGATGTTCAAAGCCAGGACAACCACGCACAGATTTGGCCCATCTCAGGGAGAGAAGCATTCTCCCCAGAGCTCTGATGATTTGACCCGCAGGCAGATTTGCCAATGGAGGAGAATTACATTCATGTTTAGCAGGAGACATACCCAAGACAGGGGTTCAAATCCTGGCCCCTCCTCTTGATAGCTTTGTGAATCTGTGTAAGTCACTTAAACATTTCTGTTTTCTCGTCTCTAAAATGAAAACAGTGCTAGCTGCTACCTCGAAGGGTTGCAAGGAATCAATGGGCTGGTCCTTGTAAAGTGCTTTAAAAGTCCCGGGCCGGCCTGTATAAAGCCTCTGTGAAGGTCACCTCTGTTATCACTGTTGGTCACTGAACTCCCAACGCTGTGCCTCTCACCGGCTCCTCTGGAAAAACATGTTTCTGCCCTTGGGTCAGGTTCCTTCAGACAATTTAGCTGCATTCCCAGGTGACAAGAAGGGATGGGGCCAGTGTGGTTACCATATAACTGAATTCATGGTTTATAAATATGTCTATAATTTTTTTTTTTTTTTTTTTTTGAGGCAGAGTCTCACTCTGTTACCGGGGTTGGAGTGGCGCGGTGTCAGCTCAGTTCACAGCAACCTCCAACTCCTGGGCTCAAGCCATCCTCCTGCCTCAGCCTCCCGAGTAGCTGGGACTACAGGCATGCACCACCACCACACCCAGCTAATTTTTTCTTTCTATTTTTAGTAGAGACCGGGTCTCATTCTTGCTCAGGCTGGTCTCAAATTCCTGAGTTCAAGCGATCCTCCCGCCTCGGCCTCCCAGAGTGCTAGGATTACAGGCGTAAGCCACCACACCCAGGCTATTATGTCTATAATTAGACTTCAAAGTTCTTAAGAAGTGATTTCTCAAGTCATAACTTGTGCACTTCTTTTTATGCACAAATTTAAATAGTTTAAATCTTATAGACTAATTATCGAAACAGTAGTTTTTAGAGAAAAGCTTATTTCTTTGTGAGGCTGTTATTAATAAGTTTTTGTGAAATAGATTTAGTTTGAAAGGAGTTTTCATCTCTTTGTCACTTAATTGGATGTTTACACATATCCAAACTAGTTAAATGAGACTTAAAATGAGATTTCAAGGAAAAAACTATTCTCTGACTTTAATAACACTATTTAAAATGCAAATTACATTGCGGATAAAAAAAATTAAAATTTTTGTAGTTTAAAAATAAATGGAATTCCGGAGTCAATATCATATAAATAGGTGTCCATCTGGCCAACATGGTGATTGCCAAATTTCTTCTTTTTCGATTGTCTCCTTACGGTTAACAAGAGTTTAAACAGCTCCCTCTTGTGGCTAAAAAAGCCACTGTCACTCCAGAGTTTGGTTTTATTCACGGCACGTTGATTTAACGCCTTGTGCATTGCATATTTGCTACCACAGTGGAGAAACAGTAACGGGGCTGGCGTGAGCATTGCTGCCTGTGGGGTTAGTACAGACACCGTCGGCTCTAAAGTTTCAAAGTGTGATTCTGGCTGCTTGTGCTGCTTCTACCTCAGAGACAGCATTTCTCTAAAATGAAAAAGTGAGCTTTTGGCCGATTGGTAGCACCGCAAAGTGTCCAGAAATCCCGCCCAATCTACCTACTTCCAGCTGAAAAGTTTCAGATTCAAAAGGCACAGATGAAAACTCCCCTTTCATTCACATCTTGTTTGCATTTTCAGCAAAATGTGTCATAGTCCCTGAAACTCTACCGTCCCTTGGTCTTAGCCAAAAGGCCAAGACTCAGTGAAATTGGACTTCCATCTGCTCGTTCCAGAAATATTTTTCGGAGTGGCCGCCATGCACCGGGCCCCGTGCCAGACGCTGGGGGACGCCGTGAGCAAGACGGGCGTGGCCCCACGAGCCCTCGGTCTGGCGGGAAGCCAGGCAGCAAGCTGTCAGGGTGGTCGACGGAGGCGGTGGCCGTGTTGGGTGTGGCGGTGGCTGCAGATAAAAATGACAGGGAGATTTAATGTGAACGAGGACATCGGGAGGTGGCCCTCTCTAACCGAAGACTGAGTAGGAATTTGCCAGGTCAAGGGAGGGCGAGAAACTATTCGAAGTAGGAAAAATAACACGTGCCAAAGTTGAGACGGGGGAAGAGGAGCTGGAGGAGCACAAGGGGCTGGACAAGGTGGCAGGAGAGGGTGGGGCGGTGACAGGCACAGGCCGGGCGCGCAGGGCACCGTAGACCACGTGTGGGCTGCGGGCATCATCCCACGCGCACTGGAAACTCGGGAAACGTTTCCAGTAGATGGCGAGCCTGATGTAATCTGATATTTTGTTAAAGAAAAATAAATAAATAAAAGCAGTCGGGCCAGCGGCGTGTGTGGACAGGCCTGGAGGGAAGGGGGACGGAAGCGAGGGTGCCACAGACAGCGGTGGCATCATTCGAGCTAGCGGCGCTGCTGGCTGGAACCCGGGCGCGTCTCGAGATGGCAGGAGGGAGCAAGACCAGACGGATTCGCAGATTGCATCGACGGGATTTGGGGCTGAAATAAAAGAAGGGGTGCGGGTAAAGGAGGTTTAAAGATAACTCCCACACAGCAAAGACAAGGAGCACTCTTCAACTGTATGCAAAAACTGGTGATGAATTAAAAAGCCAACCACAGAAAACTACGTCCCTGCAGCTTCACGGGCTCCTCCCTAACCCCGAACTGCTGGGCACCCAGCGGGGCTGGGGCCGCTCCGTACCCGCTGCTCTCCGGAGTCACACCGAGGAGAATCAACAGCGAAAAATCAAAGCCTACGGTTGGACCGGGCGAGGTGGCTCACGCATGTAATCCTAGCACCCTGGGAGGGCAAGACAGAAGGATCACTCAGGGTCAGGAGTTCGAAACCAGCCTGAGCAAGAGCGAGACCCCGTCTCTACTATAAATAGGAAGAAGTTAATTGGCCAACTAATATATATAGAAAAAATTAGCCGGGCATGGTGGCGCATGCCTGTAGTCCCAGCTACTCGGGAGGCTGAGGCAGGAGGATCGCTTGAGCCCAGGAGTTTGAGGTTGCTGTGAGCTAGGCTGACGCCATGGCACTGTAGCCTGGGTGACAGAGTGAGACTCTGTCTCAAAAAACAAAAACAAAAAAAAGCCTAAGCTTGTAGCAGTAAGGGACAACTAACCAGTGAAGTTTATGTTTAACATCTTGGATATTCAAAGAACTGCTTAAACTCTGAGCAGGAAATAAGTGGAACTTACATTTCTAAATCTTGTATTCAACGTAACAAAACCTGAGCATTCTGGTCAATGAATTAAGGGAAGTAAATAAATTCATGTTTTTTCCTGCAAGGATAGCTATTCTTAGTGTGAATATGTTTCGAAAGACCTACGCCGCACAGAACCGCGAGAAATAGTACTCTGAATTTTCTGCTTATTTTATGCTCATTGTATCACAGATTTTCCAGTCACAAGTATGAAATCAAAATAGATTTTCTGGCCCCAAAGTAGAAAGCATCTTCTGGTCAGGAACATAAACACCAGCCTTTTAACCTGTCCGAGAGTTAGAATTTGTTTGAATAAGGGGCATGAGCCTTCCGGCTGAGAAAAACACGCTGGAATGTGGGAGGTCACCTGAGAACTTCCCACAGAAGTACCTGACAAGAGGTGGGGGAGAAAACACGGTGTCCGTTTGGAACAGGAAACAAAACCTGAGGAAGAGACCCAGGCACCGAGAGTGCCCGTTGGTGGCGTGATTCGGTAATTCACTCCAAAGGTACATGAGAGGAAAACGTTTAAACAAAATTGTGTCCTTTGTTCTGACAGTGCCCACCGGAGTCAGAAATCTTCACCGTCTCAATCCCGTGACGAGGGAAGTTCTCATTAGGACAGGAAGCAATGACGTCTTCCCCTCCGCTCTGGATGCGGTATTCAGTTGGTCATTCCGGACTTTGGAACATTTGTCTCGTTCTTCATATAGTTCTTCAGGAAGGAAAGAAAAGCCAAGACTGTTAATCCTCGAAGAGAAGACAGGAAGATTCCACAAGTCAGAGAGGGACAGATACAATCATGACGCATCTGCATATAACATTCAACATGACAAGCTCGAATCTGCTGTGCAGTTGCTGGTTTTAAAGCGGAATCCCAGACTGGAGAGAGAGTGGACTCGGGGAGCCGCCCCAATCCCCCCAGCAGGGTTCAGCGGCGGGGTGGGGTGGGGGGTTGCTGGCAGCTCTCTGGGAACCATTTTCAGCCTAAAAGAGCCACCTCACTCGAGGTCGTGCCCTCTGTCTGCAGACACCTTGCATCCAATGACTGGTGGACGGGTGGTGTGAAAGTTCAGCCCCCACCCCTGCAATTTGGGAACTGTTAGACACCGGCTGCTGTCAGGAGAGCTGGAGGGCCGCTGGCTTGTGGGCAGGGAACCCACACTGCTGTCAGAGTAGTGGGAGTCGAAACAGGTCGTAGTGGCCAACTTGCTTTCTTTTTGTTCATGTTTTATATTAGAATTGGGGCATTATATTGGTTTTTTAAATTTATAGGTAGATTATGTTACCTATGAATTTCATATCAAAATCACAATGGGGACATTACAAAGTGTTTGTTTTAAAAAGAGGTGTTGAGTTTAGTAGGACTGAGACTCTGACCTAGATATTACCCAGATATTTATTAAGCTTTCTAAGGGCAGGAATGTCTCTCTATTTTTCTTTCCCAAACTCTTAACCCTCTATGGTATATACAAGGTGTTTAATGAATAGTTGTTCATTGGCCGGACGCAGTGGCTCACATCTGTAATCCTAGCACTCTGGGAGGCCGAGGCGGGAGGATCGCTTAAACTCAGGAGTTTGAGACCAGCCTGAGCAAGAGCCAGACCCTGCCTCTACAAAAAGTAGAAAAAAAAAAGAATTAACTAGACAACTAAAAATAGAAAATAAAATAGAAAAGAAAAAGAAAATAAAAATAGAAAATAGCTGGGCGTGGTAGCACATGCCTGTAGTCCCAGCAATTCCATTCAAAAAGGCTTCAGTTCCAGCACTCCCCATGGGGTCAGCTGAGCCTTTGTCAAGACCACGT